AACCCGCCACCTTAGGTGTACGTGGCTGGCGCCTTAGCCGGTTGAGCTATAGGCGCTGAGCCTGAACTGAAATTCTTAATATTTAAACTCTAGGTTGTTCCATCTTTGTTGCTTGGTGCGATGCCAGGCTAGGTCATGTGTAACTGTCTTAGGTGAATGGCACCTCCCATAACTGAGCAAGGCACAGCACAGGCAGTCAGAGTGGCCCTGCACCTGAACCTACCATTTGATTCTCCAGGATTACCTTGGAAAATTCTGCATATTTTCAAAGGCTACCAACTTGCTAAATGGTATGAACAATAGAAACCAAATTATAAATTCTAATTACTCTGGTGTTTGGTTAGTTTGTAATTCAGAATAGACAAATAACAGACCAACGGTATTTAAAGTTTTAAACACTGATCAAGACAGTCAATTAGCAAAGAGCTTAGGAAAGTATTAACAAAGCACATAACCTACGTAAGCCAAAGAGGAAAAGTGCCTGTGAAGACACTTCTCATGCCACCTCCACAATGTTATTCTATCTTCAAAAATAATTTTGTTCACCTCCTTTCACCCTTTCCATAAAAAGGCAAAATACTGGGGTGGTTACATGTTTTAAAAATCTGTACTGTGTTAAGTACTATATCAAGAGATCCATTATGATCTTGATTAATAGAGTAGAACAGGATATAAGAATGCATAAACAATTTTACAGGTGCTAATAAGACTTTCTTAAAAATATTGTTAAATGTAGGGTGGCGCCTATAGCTCAAAGGCAGTGGCCTCATATACCGGAGGTGGTGGTTTCAAACCCAGCCCCGGCCAAAAACTGCAAAAAAAAAAAAACAAAAGGGATTTAAAAAATATTGTTAAATGTAAAACTGGGCCAGGCATGGTGACTCATGCCTGTAATCGCTTGCACTTTGGGAGGCTGAGGCAAGAGGACCCCTTCAGACCAGGAGTTTGAGATCAGCCTGAGCAACACAGCAAGACCTATCTCTACAAAAAATACAAAAATTAGGTAGGCATGGTGGCACATGTCTGTAGTCCCAGGTACTCCAGAGGCTGAGGCAATAAGATTGCTTGATTCCATGAGTTTAAAGTTGCAGAATGAGACTCTGTCTCAGAAAAATGCAAACAAACAAACAAAAGTAAAACCGAAATATACCTAACACCTGCCTTAGTCTGGTTCTAAGCACCTCAGTCTTACAACGCTAAAGTCTGTTTTTCTCATGCATTTAACTAATGAGCTTTAGTTAAATCCCCTTCCCAGTAGTTTTAATGCAAAGAACTATAGCAAAGGAATTCAATAAAGATAGTGAAACAGTAAAAAGCAATTCTAAATACTTTAAAACTCATATTTAATATATAGATGTATATGAATGACACTTTTATCATTTCAAGTTGAACAACTATAAAATACTTTAAAACCAGTCATTCTAGTTATTGCATTCAAATAAGTTTGGTTAGCTATAGGTTTAATTAACCAATATGATTTTTCTTGAAATATTCTTTGTATATCAGCAATATGCTGTCTTCACATGTAGAGTCAGAAAACTAGGGAGAAAAAAACATAGGCACTCAGGATACTTTTAAAACCAAAACTTCCCCTTCTTTAATATAGCAATAAATAATGCTATTATGATCTATTAAATGCCACGTAGTTTACAAAATGTTCCTGATTGTAAGTCTCTTTAATAATGAGAATTCACCACTGAAGAACCATTCAGTTATCATCTTCCACTATGAAATCTCAAGACTGCCTTTGTGGTATACAATACCAGATATGATAATAGGGGGAAAGCAGATCTGTTAAACATGTAATAAATTACAGATTCTTATACCAATGATAGCTGAAACAAGCAGATTTCTAACAAACCTTCTAAAGCTTGAAGGATTTGGGGGAGTTATGCAAAACATACGTCTTCCAATGCGAGTGACAACTGAAGATAAGAAAGATGTGCAACAAAGATAACGAGCTTATCATGCACTGCATCTGGGGGGAACAAATATAGCTACCATTTCAGGAGGAACAGTTGTTTAAAAATTTAACGAAAAACCATGTTATTTCAGACACTATAACCTTGAGTGCAGTGGATATATAATAAAGCAAGGTGCCTATTCCTGAGGAAAATGTACTTAGTAATTACGCTGAACAGTGAGTATTAAATCTAAGCAGTACTAAAAAGGCAATGATGGGAGTTCAGGTCATGTGTTACAGAGAGACTTGTGAGAAATTCCATTACTTAAAAATAATCTTGTCCCTATAATTAACCATTTATTTATTTATTTTTTGCTCATGTGCTAAAGTGCACTGGAAACCTCAGAACAGGTTTTTAAATTTGGCCATGTCTTGTTAATAGACTGCAGTCTTCAAATTTACAGAGCTGCAGATCTCCGGGATTTTTTCAAATGTCACTCATCTAACTGAGCCTTACAGCTGAGAAATGCCATCAGGTGCTCTACAGTCAGTTTAAAAAACATCCTCTACCTGGTATCTCTGCAGTGATTGTCTTGCTGCTCCCTGAAACCTCTTCATCATCATCTGATGAGCTTGTGCTTGAGTCACAAGTCAGGTCACTATCACTGGTACTACTGTCCTGCAGCAGGTTGTATTTCTTCCTCGCAGCAGCCTCCCGTTTCTGCCTCAGTAGTCTGATCCTCTCCTTGTGCTTTTGGCTCCGATGACCTTTGACCTTGACAACACGGCCATTCTGTTTATCACTAGATTGCCGGTTTTTCTTGGCAGCCATAGTTGATGTTTCACTTTCAGATCGGGACCGCCTAGATTTGCGACCAACTGTGGCACCAGACACTCCTGCAGGGTCTCCTTCTACAGCTGTTTCTGCCTGAGAGGGTTCATTCTCTTCTGCAGAAGACAATGTATCTGAATCAGCCAGGTGACCACTAGAGGAAGGGGAAAGCAAGCAGTGATTAGAGGAGTCACTCTCATAAACTCGGCCAGTTGTCGGCTTATCACTCTCTGTGGATGCTAACTGAGACTCAGAAGAGTCCCTTCTCAGTTCCATCAACAAGCAGGGCATTGAAGAAAGAACGGTAGAATCTGCAACACCATCTTTCTGAACTTGAGATTCCAGCTCTACAGAGCCATCTTCCTCCTTGGCTGTCTCTTGTTCAGATGTTTTTGGTGGGACTTCGGACTCAATGAGTTCTTCGACTTTTCCTACTGCCTCCTCCATCTTCATTTCAAAATTTTGAGTTAGATCATGGAGCAGGGTCTAGGAAACGATATCAAAGAAGCAACAGGAAAGCAACCTGTACAAAAACACACAAAAATCAATAAACAGAAATGATAAATTATTTAATTAACACAACATGTCTCCCTTCTGAGTGGCAAAAGTTACCATTACACAGGCTTTAATATATACATAAAATGTTACATGTTTTACATATATATGTGTACATATATATATAATCTCTTTGCTTGATCAACAAAGGACTAGCAAACTCAGCTACTAAAAATGGCATAATATGAATCCTCTATTACTGAACTTGCAAGGCCAAAAAATAATCAAACAAGAACTTACAAATTTACAACTTTATTCAAAGGGAATAAAAGGGAAAAGAAAGGGAACTTCAAAGTATATACACAGGCCTGGTACAGTGGCTCACAC